CAGCACTTTGCACTTGTCCTTGTTGAACTGCATCCTATTTCGTGCTGCCCATTTTTCCAGATTCACCTGGATCTGTTCCCTACCCTTTGGTGTGTTAACTTTACCCCATAATTTGGTATCATCTGCAAACTTGAACAGGGTGCTCTCCACACCCTCGTCCAAGTCACTGATGAAGACATTGAATGGCACCAGTGCAAGGACAGAGCCTGGCGGGACTCCACCGCACACATCTTTCCAGGCCGATACCGACCCGTCCACCACCGCTCTCTGGGTGCGACCCCTAAGCCAGTTTGCAAACCCACCTGACTGCGTAATCATCTACATCACAGCCGCTCAGCTTATTTATGAGAACAGCACGCAATACCGTATCAAAGGCCTTCTTGAAGTCCAGGTAGATGACATCTACCTCGACTCCTGCGTCTAAGCAGCGTGTGACCCGGTCGTAAAAAGAAACAAGGTTAGTCAGGCAGGATCTACCTGCAATGAACCCATGCTGATTTCCTTTCTACCTGCAATGAACCCATGCTGATTTCCTTTCAGCATTATTTCCTCCGCTGGGCTCCCACAAGTGCGATCCTTAATATTTTTTCCAGAGTTTTCCCGAGGATAGAGAGGAGACTAACTGGCCTGTAGTTTCCCAGTTCCTCCCTCCTCCCCTTGTTGAAAATAGGGACCACACTGGTCCTTTTCCAGTCCTCCGGGACCTGACCTGAGCACCGTGAGTGCTCGAACAGCCGTGCCAGCGGCTCTGCTATGACACTGGCCAATTCTTTTAGCACCTGTGGGTGCAGTTCATTCGGGCCTGTTGATTTGAACACATCCAGTCCCTCCAAGTGCCCTTCACCAAGTCTGCGCTAACAGGTGGTGGGCTGGTGTCCCTCCTGTGCCTGTCTATGATCCAACTGGGAGATTTCTCTCGGTCTGTGTCCAGGAATACAGATGCAAAGAACTCACTGAAGAGCTCAGCTTTGCCCCCCACTCTGTCACCAATTGTCCTAGCCTATCCCGCAGGGTCCTATGCTATCCCACACCTTCCTTTTGCTCCCTATATACCTGAAGGACTTCTTGTTGTCCTTAATTTTTGTCACCAGCCTAAGTGCTAATCCTGCTTTGGCCTTTCTGAGTCCCTGCGAGTGCAAGCCGGGGAGGTGTACTCCTCCTTGGTAGCCAGCTACCCCCCGTTTCCACAGCCTGTATCCCTCTTTCTTAGTCCTTAGGCTTTCCTGGACTTTGGAGCTTCTTAGCCCCTTTGCCCCTTTTTCTGTGCACTGGGATTGTCTCCCTCCACGCCGGTAGGATCGCTCCCTTGAGGAACGACCACCCTTCCTGGACCCCCATTTCGCCAATGCTCTTGAGCTTTAACACTGCACTAACTAGCCCGTACCAGCTTGGCAAGGAAAGGATCAAAGCATGTGTGTGGGGCTTTGTTCTAGCTTCGTGGGGCGACAGCATGGCCAGCCAGGGCCTTGCGGGCCCGGTGAGGTGTAAGTAACCTCTGCAAAGCTCGTGGCTCTGCACTGGCGTCTGCCCACAAAGGGCCTCTGTGAAAGGGATGAGCTCAGCCCGCACGCAGCGGCTCTGCCCAGCATGAGCGGGGACTGTCGGCGATGCTCCAGCCAGCCCACGCTGCGAAGAGGGGAGCCTGGAGGGCAGAGCTCATCAGGAATGACCCAGAAACAAGAACATGGGATGGGAACAGAGGAAGGGAGGCATGCAGTTGGGGCGACAGGTCCCCGCGGATGTGGGACTCGCTTGCTTAAACCACAGCAGAGGTTTAAGCAAGGAAAACTGGCGGCAAGCTGGACATGACCAATGTGGGCTGCAAGAGCAGTCTTGCTGGGCCTGAGGGCCAGAGCATGGGAGCAGCTGACCCCACTGGAGTCCAGCTCTTGCTCCAAGACTTCTCCACAGAAAAGGAGCTCAGGACCAGAGCTGGCCCCCCGCTCCACCTCCTTCTGGTTTACACACATCCCATCCCAGGTCTCTGAGCCTAGGTGTGTTCAGGGCTCACTGCACACCCCCACACCAGGACACGTGGCAGTGGAAGAGATGGGCCCACTGGTTTTGTGCAGGCTCCAAAACCCAATTCCTCCTTCCAGAGCCAGCACAGGATGTGCGGTCTAGACAGGAGACCAGAAAAGCCTGCACACACCCCCTGCCTCAGCTCTCGCCCTTCCAGGGTTTGCACTGGCGAGTCGAGGAGCCAGGACTGCCCGCCTGGGCACAACCCCTCTCCTCTGATGTCCCAGAAGCGTGCCCTTCTCTTCCTCTTTCCTGTCCATGTTTCCTGTGTCTGTGCAAGCTCCCAGAGCCTCTAAAGCTCTGCCAGTTCTCAAGCATCGATACCTGATCTCTTCTCCCTGCTTGGGGGATCTTCAGACAGTCCAGCTCAGCAGGCTGCTTTCTCTGAGCCTCATCTGCACCAGGTCTGGATGATACCAGGTTTTAACGACTCTCCGGTGCTCCAGGTCTGGATAATACAAGACACAGGCCACCTGTCAGCATCTGGCTGTGCAGAACCGGGGGCCCCAGGCGATAGCGCATTGCTACCTCCCTGCTTCATAGGAGTGTTTGAGAGGAAAGGCTTCTCCTTTGCAGAGAAAGAGATGCTTTGGAAACAAGACGTCTAAAGACAAACCGAGTACCTCGTTCCACTAAACCGGAGTAAAGGGATGGTCTCTGCAGATTTAAATCAGTATTGTCCATGTAAGATTTCTCTCTGAGTCTGGATAAGGAAGTTTTCTCCCACTCACTCTCCCCAGCAAACCAAAACACTCCTGAGCAACAGAAAGCTCTGAAACACACCGCCTGAAAGGTATAGCACAACCTTTGCTGGTATAGCAAGACTGGCAGAGAATAAAAAGGTTGGCATGGTATTCCCTGGTAGCTCACGGTCTCGTCCAGGAATGACAGAGATGGGAGGTTACCCAACAAAAGGCTGCCGTCTCTCGGTACCTCCAGCCAGCATCTGGGGCTGGCGGCAGTGGCAGGCAATGGTATTTCCATTTCCCATTTCCCCGTGCACCACCTCCCCTAAACACATTGCAGGCACTCAGAGATCAGGCTCGGGAGGACGTCACCCCAAGTGACGTGGGCTCTTTATGATGCAAGCCCAGGACAGAATGGCTGCTGCTTCATTTGGGCACTTTTCCAAGGTCGAGAGATGGAGCGTCCTGGGAACAGGTGCCCGTCTGTGACAGCGACTCCATCGCATGGTCCGTCATCCCCAGTGTAATATACGGCACCGTTCATCTGGCCCTGAGCAAAAAAAGGGCAAGACCCTCGAGTCAGGAACCAGATGTAGCATTGGCACAGCCCAGTCCAAGTCCCCATTCTTCTGGCATCGGTCTGACCCTGAGCAAAAAAAGGGCAAGACCCTTGAGTCAGGAACCAGCTGTAGCATTGGCACAGCCCAGTCCAAGTCCCCAACCTGGGCTGTGGCCAACACCTCCAAGAGACTTAAACACCCTGGCACATGTTCCTGGTAGTTGCATGAACTCACACTGCCGTGTCTTAGATCCCTTTCCATCCTGTTAATTTAGCCAGGTTTTTATATATAAATAAGATAGATAGCTAGATAGCTAGATAGCTACATAGCTAGATAGATAGCAAGTCCATCTGCTCCCATGCTGGCCCACAGTATGTTATTAAATACACAGCTCAGTCAGGAGCAGCTTCCCTCCATGTCTTGGCTGCTTTTCTACTGGGATGGCAGGGGCACCAGAGGTCTCGCCGGCTCAGGCCGCACGTTGCGCAGACGCGACAGGAGGCAGGTGGGGACCCGCAGGGCAAACAAACCGAGCGCTCCTGGACCTCCCAGACTGAAAGCTGGAGACCTGCGATGCCTTTCCAAACCACCAGCCAAAGACCTCTGCCTGCTGAGGGTGGGTGCATGAAAGCCGGAAGACCATGACAGAAAGGCAGCAAAGCACCCCCCTCCCCTCACCATAGGAGCCTGGCAGGAGGCATCCCTTGCTCACAAGGCACCCTGATGCCCTACGAGGCTGGAGCTCCAGTACTATCGAGCAGTCTCCTCGGCCAGCCCACGGTGCAGGTTCCTGGGAGATCCAGGCTTCATTCGGTGCTCAGGGAATAAGCCAGCAAATTCTGGTTTCTTCTGATCCTCCACGTTCAGTGCAGGTCCCCCTTATTTCCCAGGAGCCCTCCAGGCTTTGCAATGCAAAGGGAATAAGTGGTTTTCTCCTGGGCTTCCTATAGCGTTCATCAGCTCAACATCAGAGGTGCTCGCAGATGCTGCTAAGTGCATTTCCACAGCTCCCCTGCAGCCAGGGAAGGAATCTGCATCCTTAGTGAAGGGCAAAACCTGCACAAGCATCCAGCATGGCTGGGTACCTCCAAGGCAGGGCTCCCATGTTCACAGACCACGGGCCTGGCTTTCCAGAGGCGATGGACCTGCTCGCCTCTCAGGGACTCCAGCTGCACAGATGCAAGAAGATGCAGCTGTGTGAGAGGGCCCGAGGTCACTTGGCCAGAGGCACGGGGCATGCCAGAGCAGACCAAACTCAGTGGGCCAGGTCTTTGGCTGCGCCAGGGCAGAAGACAGCCTTAAAGCTGGACATTATTATGGCACAGGAGGAAGCGTAAAGAAAAATGGGGACAGGGAGCAGCTAGAGGCTCATCCATTCCCCATGGGCTCAACACACTGGAGGGGACAAAGGCAATGCTTCCTGTTCAAACCTGCAAAAGGCACCTGTCCTAAACCGCTGCAGTTCTCACATGCTCCATGGCTGAGCTCCATTTCCGTCACCAGCAGGGCCTCTGACCCTCACACACCCCTGTACAAGCAGAGGGAAGCTCCTGGCCATGCAAAGGAAAGAAGATGGCTCGTCTTAACCCGAGAAGACCCAAACATCTCACCCCAGCAGCACCTGCCCCCGGGCAGATGTAGCCTCATGATTTCATCCTGCTATTTAGCTCCCATGCCTGCTGCTTTGAAACTTGCCCTTCCCTCTTGTTCTGCTCGCCAGGAGCCATCTTACCTAAAATGAGCTGCATTTGGGATCCGTCTTCCTCAGGAAAAGACGCGGCAGGTGATAGACAGTTCGGTGACCAAGGTGGCCTGAAAGAGTGAAAGCAGATATGAATTAGGGAGTAACAAGCCAACGGGCTAGGACAGCAGCGGGGCAGTTATGGGAGAAAGATGTCAGAACATGCAAGTACCCTTGAGAGAAGTATGGCAGCTCCTTCCTACCATGGCATTCAAGCCTCTGTATCACTAGCATGGCCATCCCTGCCCGCCTACAAGACAGACAGGCCGGAGCATGCAGGGGACATGGTTTTAATGTGCAAGGCATTCTCACTACCAGGGTCTGCAAAGCCAAAAAGGCTGGCAGGTGATTACGCCGATTAATGGCCTCATTTTCCGTCTGAGAGGCCATCGGAGCAGTGTCTCTCTCCAGTGAGCAGTTAATAAAGGAGATAATTCACAGTCAGGAGCCTGGATGCAGACATGCAAAAATCTCAGTAGATTACAAGATGCTAAGCGAGTCCTGGCTGCGGGGCTTTTAAACTGATGAGGCTTCCAGGCAGCGAGACCGCTCTGAAACATTGTAAGTGCTGGCCTCAGTCTAGGGAGGACGTACAAGCTTCCCTATGCATGCGGCACAGACCAGGCAGAAACTGCGTGGAGGCAGATTTGCTCTCATGCAGCTTTCCTGGGAGTTCACATAATGACCAGGAACAGGGGGTCAGTTCCCCCTTGGGGCTCCAAACCTCAGGGACCTTTGATGTGCCAGCTGGGGCATCACTTACCTGGGACCCCCTTCATCTCCGAAACGGTGCCATGACCCCCGTTGAAGTTAAGGGACGGACACCTTTGTGCTGGCCAAGTGACAGCCGAGACCTGGGACAGGTTCTGGTCAAGCTATACTCAATGCAGGAAGAAGGAATAACCACTGGTGATTAACCACTGTTATCATGATACCCAAGACCATTCCCCCTTGCACTTTACACGGTAGGAATAACACCTCTCTCTCCAGACCTTTTCTCCCGCTCTCCCTGGAAATGGGAAAGGCCACGCTCCAGGCTTGACGAAACTTTTGAAAAGAACTATTACAAACTTCACGCTCCTGCTTGACATCTCACCCTCGCTTCTGCCAAAAATCATTTTCCTTTTCCTCTTGCCCCAAGTTTTACACGCATCAGCTCTGTTTGCCATGACGGACTCAAGGCACTGCTAGGACTGGGATTTGCAAAAGCAATTGCCAGACCCGGGAGCACAAGCATGGACTTTCATGGGCGTCCTCAGACACCCCACTGGTCTGGAAAGGCCCGAGCTGTGTTGCCCATCTGCAGTAGAGCTATTACCAGGCAGGAGCATGTGGCGCTGCGCTGGGTTTGTAGGCGAGAGCGGTGGGATGAGTGCGTTCAGGAAGAGGTGGAGGAGGAAGGAAACAGGAAGCCAAGCCTCAGCACAGAAACACACCCCACATTTGAGTTCACTCTCCCAGTTAGACTGAGGGAGGGAGGCACTTCCCAGTGCTCTCTGCAGGGTTTGTCCTCTCCTGAGCTTGGGCACACCAGAAACCAAGGGCAACAAAAATGGTGAGGGGCTGGGGGACATGACTTGTGAGGAAAGACTAAGGGAACTGGACTTTAGTCTAGAGATGAGAAGCCTGTGGGGATTGAATAGCAGCCTTCACCTCCCTGCAGGGGGGCTGCAAAGAGGATGGAGCTGGGCTGTTCTCTGTGGGGGCAGATGGCAGGACAAGGAGCAAAGGGCTCAGGCTGCAGCAAGGGAGGCTGAGGTTGAATACTAGGAAAAACTCTCACTAGGAGGGTGGTGAAGCACTGGAACAGGTTACCCAGGGGGTGGTAGCATCTCCATCCTTGGAGGTTTTCAAAACTCAGGCAGACAAGCGATGATATAGTTGGGGCTGGTCTTGCTTGGAGCAAGTGGTTGGACTAGATAGACGTGACCTCCTGCGGTCCCTTCCAACACTCGTTTTCTAGGATTATAGGAAAGGAGGGCCGGAAGGGACCTCAGAAAGTCCTCTAGTCCAGTGCCCTGCTCAGGGCAGGATTGGTATCTCCAGCCAGGCAGGGGCCGGGCTGCAGCGTGGGGTCACTCAGCACAGGGGACCCGTGGGGCGGGCAGGCAGCAGGACTGGATGCTCTTCTCAGCATGGGCGGGGGTCACTCAGCACAGGGGACCCGTGGGGCAGGCAGGCAGCCCGTGAGGGGCAGCAGCAGGACTGGATGCTCTTCTCAGCATGGGTCCTGCTACAGGGAGAAAGGCACCACCTCCCTGACGGCCGTGGTCTTTTCTGCACCTCCTGCCGCTGCATTCAGCTTCACCCCCAAGCCCTTCCCCTCCCACCAGCAGCTGAAAGGTAAGTCACCGCAGTACTCTCCTACCAGCGTCAGAGTCCACTGGGTCTAGGGGATTTGCAATAGGATCAATACGCCTGCATTTCCCACCCCCACCTCCAAACCAAGGTACCAGCCAAGTCCTACAGCACGCACCACGCCAGGGACATGCGACGTGCTTTTGCAATATGTGGTGCCCTCCTGTGGCCAAAGCCTTCACCATTTGCTGCAGTCACTGCAAACAAGATGCCAAGCTTCAGGCCCATTTACCCAAATAACCTCGTTTGCCTATGTCCTTAGACCAACCCGGCTACAACCCACACCCCTTCCACCACTGCAGCTCTTCTTGGTGCTACATACTGAGGGGTAAAAGCAGACACTGCATTTGAGGCTGCGCTGATTGATCCAAGTCAAAACCAGCGAGCTGCATTGGTGGCTTATGGCCATTAATTTGAATTAGCCACGACTGTCCCATGAATGAGAGGTATCCAGGCTGTAGCCATATTGGTCTAGAGAAAAAAAAGCGATCAGGACTCATGGTAGAGGGGATCTCTTTTACTAAACCAACTAGATTTTTGCAAAAAAAAAAAAAACTCTCTCTCTCCAGGAAAGTGTCATTGATGATACTTCACAGGTACTTTGAGTGGGACAATGGGGATCCCAGGATAAAAAGCTTTGTCCTGGGAAAAATTCAACATCTGTTTCTACCCAAGCCAGCTGCAGGGAAGGAGCATCCTAGCTGGGCTGCCAAGCCACACCTTCAGCTGTTAAAGAGGGTACCAGTTGCCCACACATGTGTAACTGCCCCTTGAGCATCCAGCCTGTGCCCTGGGCGAGACCACAGGGGTCCTGGGGCTAAAACAGGAGGTGATGGATATTGTAGCCCATGGATCTCCATCAGGTCACATGCAGCTGCCTGGGACGGCAGGGACAGAGCTCAGCACCCCCGAAGCTCCCTCCCAGTCATGTGCGTCACTGCCAGGACACGAGCAGTCACGCACAACGGTGAGAGCTGAGGCTTGAAGCCAACCTCATGGCCGAGGGAACCAGGTCAGAAAACACAGCCGGGGCCAGGACAGCCTCACGCCTAGTCCTATGCAACTCACCTGGTGATTTGCAGAGACCCCCACTTTGCTGTGCCCAGCGCCCTCTGAAGCAAGGGCATCTGCTCAAGTCTGCCAAAGGGCTGTCAGGTGCCCAGATGACGAGCCCCTCGTGCTGAGCTCTAGCCTGCTGTTTGCTTTCCCGAACGCAGCGTGCTGGGCAAGAGCATGGGAGGAAACTGCGATGGAGGAAGTTCTCCAGGGTCTGGCGGCTGGCTTGGACTCAGGGCCTGGGAACGACAGATGAAGGGGCAGTTCCACCCGAGGACTTACCTGGCCTCGTCCTAGTCGAGTTAGGACTGCAGATCCCAGGCCTGGCATCTGCCTCTGCCGCCACCCCCTCCCAACTGCATTGCTCTTGGCTCTCGAACAGCAAACGTGGCGATCCTGGCACCAGGGACACCAGCGCCATACATACCACATAGGAGGTGCAACACACCACAGCCTACATCATCATGTCACCTCTGCGGGCCCTGGGCTGCAGATGCTCGGCCCCCCGCTGCACTGAGCTCCTTTCCTAATCAGGCCTCTCTGTAGCAAGAAACCTTTTTTTTTTTTTGCCCCTCCATATGGCAAAAGCCCCTTTTGCAGTATTTGCCACCTTCTGGGGATGCTCTCTTTTCTACCTTTTCTTCCTTCCTCCCTCTTCTTCTTCTATTATATTATTATTTTTATAGAATCTAAGGTGTACTTGTAATAAAAATATAGTTTGTAGATGCTTTTATGGGTATAAAGTAGTATTCTGCATCAGTATGCCCCCCCGCCATGTTTGGTCTATTTGTTGTATGTGCCATGGCATTTCACCCTTTTATGTTTTATAGTCTATGCTTTTTTAACTTTGTAACAAATATACTTTAAAGTTTAAAAGTAAGTTGTGCCATGTAACAATGTTATCAAGGGGGGAAATGGAACTGCGTCTTCTCTGTATTGAGCAGGTCCCTGACTGAATCTTGATTGCATAACACAGTAGCTAGCCAGGATAACAAGTTAACAAGCGACAATTAACACCTAGGACACCACAGACTAAGGAGAGGAAGGATCAATACAGAGCCAGGAACTCCCTGAAACATTGGGGTTCAAAGGTACAGAAGCCCCAGTTTGAACTAATCAACACTGAAGACCGACTCTTGGGACAGAATCCCCCCCCCCCCCCA